TCACTCAGAAATAAACATGAGAAAATGCAGATTAAAATTTATTCTCTTCTGCATATCCCTTCTTCTCCTTTGCGGACCAAAGCGAGTTGAACTAACACGAAAGGCGATATTTCCAGTGGAACAATGAGGTTGATTATGATCGTGAAACGCATGGACTATTGAAAAATGACGAGATCGTTTTCGCAAAAATCCAGTTAACGGTGTAACTTTTTGGGAGATCAGGAAACACATACACAGTTGATATCTAAATTTTCAAATTTCTACATCAGCAACATTATGCCATCATGAGAACTCAGTATGTTGTGTTGTTTTCAGCTTTTTTTGTTGAGATTCGATATTTTCCATCAAAGAAATTGAATTTCCATTAATTGTAACTGGTCGACCACAGCAGAGATATTTCGCTTGCGCTTGCTCGCTTGTATTTGTGCAAAGGCACAACATTCTGTGCGAAATTTGCAGAGAGTATCAGAGTGGTTCGATTGTTGCTTTGCTCAATGCTCAGTTCTTCAGTTGTATGATTTTCTCGAATGATTTAATAAATGGTCAAGGACATTCAGCAACAATTCCTATCCGCACACACCAACAATATGCAACCATAGGAAAGTTCTCCTTTTACACAGTCTTGTATACTCAATTCTGTTAAACTATTCACTTGTTAATACTCTGCACACACTTCTGCTAGAATTTTTATTATTATTGGCCATGTTTTCGGTGTATTCTTCGCGTTATTCGTCATTTCCATCAACTCTTTTCAGTCTCATACTTTCAGATTAGATTTTTGCATTGCTATCGGAAAAAAAAANTTGCTCAGTTATGAAAAAAATGTAGTGATGAAACAGGGGCAGCTGACTGACTGAGTGGCACCATTGATTTGTATGTAGACATTACTGTGTTCATGTTTATGTGCTTATTTTGTGCTTATGCTGGTGAATGTGTTTGTTGTTCTAGTAGCGTACGCAAACGAATGATCATAAATGAAACTGCTGTCACTGTGACTGTTTGTGTGCTCATTTCTTATCAAACGCCACAGAACGAACGATTGCATAGGGCACAAATAAATACAGCAAACGATAAATAACAACAACAGCAAAATATCATCTGTTCAAAGTTTTTAAGGGGCATATTTTATCACAGCGTG